TCTGATCAGGCTGCAGCAGCCCCTGCCTGCAGCCAGGGAGTGGTGCGGGGGGCACCCCAGCCCAGCCCCACCCTCACTAATTAAATGGGATTTTACAACCCTAATCCCAAGAATGACTTTGGAATGAAAAGCCTCAGGTGATACTAAATACACACATAATGAATTTCAGATGTGTAACCAAAAACCCCACATATATAGGAACAGATTCTGACCCACATGCAGGCCCCTATCCACTGCTACTGCAGCATACAAAGCTGTACAGGAACCACAGCCGGCTCTACACTGCCCCTAGTAAGTCCCAGTGGTTGCTCTAACAATACTGATGGCAATTTCAATCTACAGAGCAACCCAGAATTTGAGACACCCTTATACAACCTCACCTCACTTATGGGAGGTGCAGCATAGGATCCACCTGGGTTTGAGTGTAAGTACAAGTCAAGAGAAGACTGCACCCCTTTCAGGTCCTCTAGGTTGGCCAATTATTTAAAAAAGGTGAATTACCGCACAGATTCTCAGTTATAACAGCAAGAAGCAAAGAAATGAATCACTATCCATGGACAACGCATCCATGGGCTGCTGCCACCTGTTAGGTACAGAAACAGCAGTTTAAGCCTAGAAAACTGCAAATAAATGTTTAGCATTTGCTTTTCTTCTTCAACACTCTTTGCAAACTTCAATTCAAAGTCCTGGTAACTCTTCACAAGTGCTCAGCTATGTGTATAAATATGTATTTATAAGGCGTTCCTCCCCTCCCTCCTTTGAGGTGAGTACTTATAAATATTGTGAAATAATACTTTTATCACAGGAGCATCCGGGGCCACAGTTAAGATCAAGACCCTATTGCTCTAGGTGCTGCACCAGCAAATGAAGACAAACAGTCTCTGCCCCAAGGAGATTACATAAAGGAAAACAGACCTGGATTTATAGAGCTGTTTCTCCTGTACTGATGGGATTGGGCCACTCGCAAGCTGGGTAGGATTCTCTGTGCTCTCACTGGGACAGATTTCCATGGAATCCGCTTGCGACTGCTCACAAGTCTCCACATTCACGTCCATTGGCATGCTCACATCCCGCTTAGAGTGAGGTTTACTGTGCTTGATGCTGCTGCAGAAACAAAACCCGCCTGTTAGGAGCTGCCAAGTGTCTACTACTCAGCCCAAATTCAAAGGCCCCAAGTCGCTGGATTAGGAGGCTACAACACAAGTTAAGTACAACAGGCTGAGGAGAGGGGAGCGTATAGTGGAAAGTAATGAGTCTCCTTGGTTGCTCTGGGTAGCCTGTAAAATGTTCAAAGGAGAGCATGGCACTGCTGAAGGGAAGACAGGCTTGTGGGTCGAGTCCTATTACAGGGGGTCTGCAGAGTGGAGGAGTCAGAACGACTATTACACCACCAGATTCTGTCTTATGCCCATAAAGCACAACTGGGTTCCTCTGGTAGAGCAGGGCCAATGATTCCTTCCTTCCCTAGCTCAGGGCATCCTGCTTCAGAGAGATGAATGTTGGTGCCTGACCCCTGGCTAAGAATGACACTTTCTAAGTCAGCTGTTCATTTCCTTTCTAGGTGCTAAGCTGAAAACTAATGACAACAGAGTGGGTCTGATTGCCCATGTCATTGCTCAGTCAGTCTGTAAGAGCCAATGGTTCAGCCCCACTGCCTGCTTACTAAACGGTTAAGCATAGAAATCACCCTTCAGTGCTAAATAAGCCTCCCTGGCTCCCCTACCTTGGAATGGGAACAGCAACATTAGCGGAGCGATGGAGAAGTTGATTAGTGACATCACTGCTTCGCTTAAGGGTGTCTGTATCCAGAGTGCTATTACGTAACCTCTTATAGCCACCCGAGAAATGGGCATGCCCACACACGAGGGCAATCAGGGCACTGCCTCCTCAGCTGTTCAGCAGCACCAACAGGGACCCTATGTTAAGTGCTTACACTAGTTTCTCTCTCACCTTTTCTTCCAGACGCAGCAGCACACTCACAGCTGGCTCCATGCTTCCACTGTTCCATGGCCAGGACAGAAGGCCAAGCAACAAGCAAAGGAACTTGCCTCTGCTCTGGCCATGGTTTTCAACCAGAATAGCGTGTGCAGCAGCAGAGGCGAAGGCCTGGAGTCAGCTGGCTGTGGGCAGCACCCTAACTCACGGATATCAGGAACTGGGAAGAATGGCTCTGGCTCTTGCTTGTGCAGTGTTGCCGATCCCCTCTGGTAGACTCGCCAGCCTCTCCAGCAGGGATGAAATTCCTGAGTATGCATTGGGCTTTCCACGCCCACTCTAAGGATGGATTCCTAGACCTGACAATTCGCCAGGCCTCTGCTGCCACGATGGAGACTGTTCGCCTCTCAGCCCTGCACTGTACACAGGCATCATAGGGAACAAAGTGAGACAGAGATTGCAGCTCTGCTCATAGTACTTCAGGCACAGTGCAATGCAAGCAGAGGGCTGGCAAGAGCAGGGAGGCTTGGCTGACTGGTTTGCTGATGAGGAATCTTTTCAGCTCTCCTTTCACTCATGTGATGTGGGTGAGTCATCCTTGCTGGAAGAACCTGAAGGCCAATATGCCTTGGCTCATGAATTCACAAGCTCAGCTCTCACTTTTTTTTTTTTGCATTTAGTATACAACCTCTTTATACCCAAAGGACAGAAATAAACTAGTGCAATTATGGGAAGGGAACGCAGGTGTTCTGGAGTTTTCTGGGTTTTCAGGTGTTCTCTGCTTCGAAGGACCAGTCCCCAGCACACAGAAGGATAATGGTTACGTTTTCAGAGTATTTGGCACTTACCTTTTAGCTTTCTTTGGTCTATCAAATCGAAAATCAGAAGGATAAAGATGAACTTTGACTAAATGATCTTTTCTGTCTTTGCTGCTCTTGAACTTCTCTGCACAGCCTTCTACCAAACACTGATACTAAAAAGTGAGAAGAGGGAGAAGTTAGTTCTAGAAGTCATGCAGTAAAAGTAAAATGGGAGTTACTAGAGATGTAAAAGCCCATTTAAAATGTTAACCGGTTAAACTATATGCTTAACTGGTTAACCAGCCCACCACAGCATGGTAATCTCAGCTGAGCTGCAGCGGTCCCCCACCCGTGCCACGCCACAGGCAGGGGACTGCTCCAGCAGGGCTGCTCCAGTTACCCTGGAAAGCATGCTAGTAAGGCAATGATTACCGGGTAACCAGTTACCCCTTTACATCCACTATCCTCACAGAATTTCTCCCACACAAGGCAAGGTGTTTACCTGGCATTTCCATATTGATACACGCAGTAAAAGTAAAATGGGAGTTACTAGAGATGTAAAAGCCCATTTAAAATGTTAACCGGTTAAACTATATGCTTAACTGGTTAACCAGCCCACCACAGCATGGTAATCTCAGCTGAGCTGCAGCGGTCCCCCACCCGTGCCACGCCACAGGCAGGGGACTGCTCCAGCAGGGCTGCTCCAGTTACCCTGGAAAGCATGCTAGTAAGGCAATGATTACCGGGTAACCAGTTACCCCTTTACATCCACTATCCTCACAGAATTTCTCCCACACAAGGCAAGGTGTTTACCTGGCATTTCCATATTGATACACAGGTCTAAAGATGTATCATCATCATCAACTGAAAGTCCTTCTGAAAGGTGATTTGGTCCAATCACAAGCTATTGAGTTCTACAGATTTTGTTTCTGCAGGATGGAAAAGTCATCTCCTTACCCATTTCCCAGGTTTTTTCCCTGTCTCTACTATCATCCTAGGGAGATGTTAGCTCAAGTCAGACTTACACACTGGTGTCTATCCACTTATTCTTGTTTTTACAATAAGCAAAGCAGAAAGGAGGGCTAGTCCTACGGGCAGGAAATTGGGGTTCTACTTCTGGCTTTGTGTGTGACTATGGGAAAGTCTCTTCTTCTCCCTGAGCCACAGTTGCCCTATTAGCAAAACAAGAATAATACATTGTTACATCACTGGACATTATGAGCCATAAAGCACATGAAGTACTTAGAGATACTTGGATAGAAGGCATTAGAGACTGCAAAAAATGATACTGATTTCCTTTTGTCATGAATCAACATGTGTCCTGTACTCAGTCTATAAATAAAGGCTCTATTTGCCAACGTAGAAATGCCATAAAGTTACTTCAGCACCTCCATCATCCAAAAGTAGGCCATGTCCTAGTGATTCTTGTTTTTATAGCATCCTAAAGCTTTCAAAGTATTTTAGAGAATAAATAGAAGAGCACGATCACTGCCCCATAGAACTGACCGTCTAATTCTGCACGAGATGCTCCAAGAGAGAATGATGGTCATGACAGAAAGGACACAATGATTTAGTTAAGCTTGGGTACATGATGATGACTCAGTTAAGATTATTCAGTTAAGTGAGAAATGTTTCATCTCAAGAGCCGAGAAGGAAGAGAGGCCCCAATCCTGTAACACTTGTGCACGTCCTTAACTTTATGCATTGAGTTGTCCCACAGAATTCACTGTGTGAAGAAAAGTTAAACATGTGCTCGAGTCTTTGCAAAAATCAGGACATTAGATGGTATATTCTGTTGAACTGTATGGGCCTGCTCCTGTCTCAGTGAAATCACCATCAAAATGCCTACTGACTTTAACAGACACAGGATTGGCAGAAGACTGACTACCATCTAGAACATCTCTTTTTACCCCACCTATCAGCTGGGATGATTTATGTCTGTAAGAAATCATGCCTCTGAGTATATGCAGTGACACACCTCTGAATATGTGCAGAGAAACTGTCAGCCCTAATGTTCCATTAGGAGGTATTTGAAGTTATTTCTTTTAAGGGAAGAATTTGATCACATCCATGATTGCATCTGGATAAACAGACGCTGAAAAGGGTATCTCTGAGTGCAAAATCACTTTACTTTTTATTAAGATTTGTTGCAAAAGCAGTCATTCCCCATTGCCAAAGGTGTGCCACACATGCCAAGTTAGAACTTCTGAAACAAAACAGAGATGTCAAGGCACAGAAGAATAGTTCTCCTAGAAAGATATAAGCTTCTGAATACAAATATGCTGCTGTTACCAAAATGACACTACTTAGAAAAAAAGACATTTTGGAAAGCCAAACACAGTTTTGGAGGATTTTTTTATACAAAGTTTTCACATGCTGGATACACAATGTAATCTTTGCAACTCACCATATTTTGTTTCTCTGCCATTATCTGGAAAAGAGAGTCATGCCACTCCAGGATGTGAGTATCCAACAGATGCCCAGAGGGGAAAGAACGTTTGCAGAAAGAACACATGTTTCTGTGTAGTGTGTTGTAGTGATGTTCATAACCCTCTAAGGTATCAAACACTTGACAGCACCCAACAATATGACAACTGAATTCAGACACCCTAGAAAGAAGTGATGAAAATATGTGTATGTTTAGGTTATGTCAACACCACACAGAGCATATGGATCAATGCCTCTGCACAAATCGAAATAAAATCTTTACATTCTGGTAGTTTTCATTATTAAACTGGAGACAATAGCATTAACTTGTGAGGTAATTAGGAACTCGTATTTGTGGCTCAAACTCCTTTTACATAACTCTCAGCCTCTAGAATCAGTGGAATCAAAACTAAGCAGCAATAAAAGGTGATGAGCTGCTATATTTCAAAATCCCAGCAGATCCCTATGAAAGAGCTATCTTCATTTTCAATTAGTTCTCTAGGTAGCGTCAAGTTTTTTCTGGGATGATTACTGAACATTTTGAAACTAGGTGGAGATCTTGGCCAATGTGTTCATTTTGACCAGGTTATTCTCCCTAACTGAACAACTGCATATTTTCCCCTAAACTCAAATTCTTTTTTAACAGACTGAAGTAAAAAGCCATCATATAATTTGCTCAGATCTTCTGACTGAAACTTAAATGCTCAGGTACCTTCAGGAATGCAAATCCCATTTATACCCATATTTTCTGAAGGGATGATTTCTCCAGATCTGGCAAAGAGATAACCAACATTTCATTTTAAACCAGACAGTCCCTCAAAACCTGAATCTCTTTCAATAACTATCACATTATCCACTTATAAGGCACTTTATGATGTCTTCCTAATTATTCTATTTCTTCTCCATCTCCATGATTAAAGCAAAAAATAAAATAAAGGAGATTGCAGATATCTCTGTCCAGTATCTCTATAATTTAGGTCTTATCTCAACTTTCAGGAGCTCACCACTGCAGCAACTGATCCATTGGGGGTCTATTTAGCAGATTTAGGGATGACCCAGTAAATCAGCCATAGATCTCTCACCTATTGACTCCAGTACTCCATAGGAATGAGAAGCATAAGGAAAGTCGATGCGAGAGTTGCCCCCATCAACTCAGCATGATGCTACTTTGAAAATTCCAGTACTGCAACAAGTTAGCCTAACCTTTGTCTCCATTATTCTTGTAGCTGGAATTGTGTAACTTAGTTTGATTTAACCCCGTAGCATAGACTTGATCTCAGACAGATCAGACTCAGCTCCAATGACTTATACTGATGCTTTTGGACAGGTGTAAAGAGCAATAGTCCTCTGAAGGAAACACGAGTGAAAGCTCACATGGAGATGCAACCAACAAAACTGTACCATCCATCAAAACACCTCTTTTTGTCAAGAAACAACAAAAGAAAAACAGCTGAATTTGATCTGGTAGCAGAAATAATTCAAAGCACTCCACAGTTGTTATTCAATATTTGCTCAGTCTTAATTAATACAATTTGAGCCAGATGCATACACCACCAACAGCATGGACCACAAACTGGTAGCTATGGGTAGTGTGTGTGTATATATATTTTATAATATAAAAAAAATCACATGCATTTTTGTTAACCGGACCCACAATAGAATTTAGAAGAACAGCACCACTTACTTGGATCTTTCGGTCACTTCTGTAACATTTGTTAGGATATCCTGGAGATACAAGTGTCTATGAATGTCTCCATCCTGAAAAAGAGTAGTGATTGTAGGCATGTTACAGCACCGCATGTTCAAAAAGTAAATGGGAAATTATCTTTATTGTCCAACAAGAAACTGTTAAAACAGAGTTAAGATACAGAATACATGTTACTACCAACTCGACTTTGTATCAAGAATGGCATGTTGATCTAACTTTGCTGAGCCCAGTTTATAGAGCATGAATAAAAGCGCAACTGGGTGTCCTTGACTATTGCTATCCATTGCTCATCATAAGCCCTTTGTTGCTAACTCCTAGGGACATAATTCTAGAGCAGGACTACTCAACACATGGCCCGTGAGCCATGGTGCAGTTTGGATTTACATGGGGCTCAACATGTGGCCTGCAGGCACGAGCCAAAACAAAAAAGTGCTCAATATAATGGTCTTCTGTTGATCTGAGTTTTAGTAGTTCAATTCCTGGACTGTCATTGCTCATTAAAAGTGCTGCTATAGAGGTGGAAACCAGGCAAATATTGCATTTTATTCATAGCAACGAAACTGACTTAAACGGGGCCTGCGTGTTGTGTTGTCTTGCCTTAATCTTTGTACTCATGCCCGCCAGTGTGAAAGCAGCTATTTGCATAGATTTGCATGAATAAGCAACCACACTTTAGCTGCGGCCCGGGGCACGTGCTGTGAGTATCACTGTGGCCCCCGGGCTTGCAAAGTTGAGTAGCCCTGGCCCAGGGACTCTCAGCCTCGCTGGGGGCCGGCGAGACCACGGCGCCTCAGGAGACTCGGCGCCAGCGGAAGGGGGCTGTAGCTTTGGGGCAGGGCCCCCCCGAGGGGCTGCGGCCACGGGGCACAAGCCCGCTCCGGCTGCCCGGGAGGCCGCGCGAGGGCAGCCGGGTCCCTCACCTCGAAGAACTCGTGCTGGCGATGGAAGCGGAGGCGGCGGGCCGAGAAGCAGAAGGGGGCCCGCGGCGGCGAGCGGGGCCGGACGGGCAGCAGGGGCCGCTCCGCCTGCAGCGAGAGGCTGAGCCCGGGCGGCAGCAGCATCCTGCCCAAGCGCCGGGCGCGCTCAGCGGGACGCCATCTTTCCGGGGGATCAGATCACTTCCGGGTCAGCTGGCACTTCCGGGTCCCCTCGGAGCGCTTCGGGGCTAGTAGCGGCGATGCGGGGGCTCTCCTGTGAGACGGGCAGCGACAAGGGGGCGGGGCCTTAGCAGGGCAGGTCCCCACGCGGGTTTCTGATTGGTTCCAGGGAGGCCGCCGTCTCTGCGGCAGCCAATCGGAGTCTGCGCGCTTCTTCCACCCTCCCCCCCCACTCCCGCGCGCCGCTTGCGAGGCCCCGGCTAACGGTTAACGGCTAACGGCTGCGGCGTGATTCCCTCAGTAGCCCCGCCCCCCGATCCTCCCGCGCTGGGCGCGCGCAGCCACTGAGGGGGCCCGCTCCGCGCGCGCCGCCCCGTCCCCCCAGACCCGGCGGGAGCTGCCCCGGCACAAGGTACCCGCTTCCCGACCGGGCGGGGCCCTCTCCCTCGCCGGGGCTGCGGACCCGCTGTCGCCCCGCAGGCCCGTCCTCACGAACTGCGGGGCGAGGGGCTGGAACAGGTCAGGGAGGCGGAGCAGGGCCCCCGGGATCGATGGGGCGGGGGCCAGCGCCAGGCACACACAGCGGTGCCCCATGGGGCTGTGTCTGCCTGCGCCTAGGGGGGCGGGGAGTGGGGGAGCCGGCTCTGGGGTGGCCTTTGAGTGATGAATGCAGGGTCTCCTGCGCGGCTCCATCGCCACCTTGCCCCTCGAGCGATGCCCCCGCGGCGTGTCAATAAGCCCCCCCCGGAGTGACCGGTGCGGGCAGCGCTGTGTTGGTGGGAGAGCTTCTCCTGCCCACCTCGGGCTGCTTAAGCGCTGCCATGGAGCGGTACCCATGTGTAAACTAGGGATCGGCGTGGCCAAACGGTAAGCAACACCTTACCGGTTACCGTTCACTAGCCGCGGGGCCTCACTGGAGGGTTTTGCATCCTTAGTCTAAACAAGCCCCGAGTCCCGATTACAAAAAACGATTTCGGTACTGACGAGTCTAAATGACATTGACTTTTAGTGAGGTTTACGCTGCGACGTGCCAAAGTCGCTTTTGAAAACGAGACTTGGACTCTGAGGCCACTTCGGCAACTTTGAATTTTTTTACCCTTGTTGATTAGCTTTGAGTTTCCTCGGTTGCGCTTTGCATTCAATGTACTGTGAAATCTGTAACCCTAGGTGGAAGCATGAGTGAATTCCGCATTCACCACGATGTCAACGAGCTGTTAAGCCTGCTGCGTGTTCATGGAGGGGAAGGAGCTGAAGTGTACATAGATCTCCTGCAAAAGAACCGAACTCCTTATGTTACCACGACTGTCTCTGCACACAGTGCTAAGGTGAGCTAGTTTCAGTTTACTCGCTGCCAAGCTGCCGTGATGGTTGAAATTCACTTTTTTCGTAATTAGTATGTGATAATCTTCTGGAATTATTTACAAATTCTTTGACTCTAGTGATACCAACATCAAGGTTAAAGAGAGAAACTAAGAGAAAAGGGACCACTTGAGTTTTTGGAAGGACAAAGAACATCCTTACTTCTGCCCTACACCTAAACTCACCATGCCTACTCCTCAGGAGTTCCCGAACAGGACTCTGAGTTATCCTTCCTTATGTCCCTAATAAGTGCTGAGATGTTAGGTTTGCTGTCTAAGTAACTCAGAGCCACTCATCTACATTTCTGAAGGGGTAGAGTGGAGAGGACGCATCAGGACTGACAGCTTGATACTTGCTTGAGAGACCAAGAGACTGGCAGCATGACTAGAATCATAGACCCATAGAGCTGGAAGGGACCTCAGAAAGTCATCAAGTCCAGCCCCCTGCTCTAGGCAAGACCAATCCCAACTAAATCAACCCAGCCAGGGCTTTGTCATACCGGGTCTTCTGGTCTCCCAAGGCACAGAGTTGAGGTCCTGAAAAGAAATGCAGACATTGAACTAGTAATGTAAAATCCTATTTAATTAGTTGACCAATTAAATGTTAAATTTAACCGATTAACTGATTAAACAGAGGCGGGCTGTGAGTGGGCAGCCTTGCACAAAGGGGAGTGGATAGGGCAGTGGAGGGGAGGGCTGCTGGATCCCCGCCTTCGTGGGCTCATCACACTGTGGATGGGGCTAGGTGGTTGGAATTCACCTACAAATTTGACATAACCTGGCTTTGAATAAAGACTTAATGTGGTCAACACATTACAAAGCCAATTTCCTCTGCCTTTAACATTCACATTTTCACATCAAACACTATGAATGGGACACATCCAGCTCACTTAATTAGCTTCATTAACACAGGTCCTACAATTGACAGATTTTTTTTTTGTTATTGTGTACATCTTGGATTCTCTTATTTCCACTCCAACTCATCTGATGAAGTGGGTCTTACCCTCAAAAGCTCATGATACAGTGTATTTTTGTTATTCTCTAAGGTGCTACAGGATTACTCGTTGTTTCTTTAGTTATATGATCATAGACTGGTTTTTGCACAGCATCTTTATGGCTCTTTGCATATGCAAAAGTAGCCCCATTTTACAAACACCATAACAGATCTGATGTTTTCTTTGTTCTTCTAAGTAGTGCATTTGAAACTTTCTCCTAAAATGCTAACATTTATGTTTAAATACTTGTATTATTTATGATGTTTTACAGGTTAAAATAGCAGAATTTTCTCGAACTCCAGAAGATTTTTTAAAGAAGTATGATGAGCTGAAATCTAAAAATACAAGGAATCTGGATCCGTTAGTGTATTTGCTGTCAAAACTCACAGAAGACAAAGAGGTAGCATGTTTGTTTCTGCATTTGTCAGTCTGATGCATATTGGGAAGTAACAACAATGATTATAGTGCATCCTTTTAAGAAGCTGTTCAGACAAACCTATCTGAACCAACTAGTTATGATTACAGTGGAGTATGTGATAGGGATATTAACAAACGTTTATTTGTGTAAATGTGTAACCACTGAAATTTTTAGCGATGACATGTTTACACACATGAGGGACTGGTGCTCGCAGGGAGCCAGCTTAAAAGATACAGAGGCAGCAAAGGGGGGATGTATGTAACCATTAGGAATAACCAATAAGCAAGCTAACATCCCGAGTATGTGAGAGCATTCATTCTAGCCCTCTGTTTTCAGTTACTCATGAATTTTTCCAGCAAGTTTTGTACCTAAACAGGAATTTTAATTTTGACTTAGAGAAAAATCAAGCCATTTTGAATTATGTAATGGTAAGCACATTTTTTTAACCATTCGTATTAAGGGTTTTTTTTTTTTTGCATACTAAGTATACAATTGGAAAAATATCAGTTCTAAACATTTAAAAATTGGACATTTCACCAGAACGGGTCTTTTCTGGTGCTCATCACTATACTTGCTAAGGTCCTGATCCTGCAATCTGTTCTGCACTCACCAGAACGGGTCTTTTCTGGTGCTCATCACTATACTTGCTAAGGCCCTGATCCTGCAATCTGTTCACTCCTGTGTCCTTGCAGAGCCCCATTGATTTCAGTTCCATATGGATGTAAGAATATAGGTCATAGTGCAGGATATGGTCTAGTTAGTCTGAGCTAATCTCTGTGGGAAAAGTACTCAGTGTACAAACTTGATCTATAACTTTTCCGTTCAGATTTTCTTCTTAGATCTTATTTGGAAGCCTTCAACAAAGTAAACTTGATGGGTGAAAATTTTTAAAGGTGATTTCTTATTTTGGATGTCTCCGTTTTTAGATAGCTAGTTTGACCCATGTTGGCCCTGATTTACAGAAGCTTTAAGCATCCATGACTGCATCTGCAAGTACCATTGTTTCAGTCCGAAGTCACCTTCTCATGTTAGAAATAAGTTCCCAGACAATGTAATGAAGAACAGAGAGGGGGGGAAAGTCTTTCTGTATGTCTACTCTGTGCATTTGACAGCTCTTTCTATGTTCATCTGATGTAGCCTTTTAAAAATAATGCATGAAACTGGATTTCACACAAAGGAATAGGGCAGGGTTTCTCAAAAAGGGCTGCACGCCACCTTTGGGAAAGCTGCTAATAGGCCCGCATCTCTTTGTTTTCCTAAAAGGGTCTGTAGCCACAGAGCCTTGTGGCTCCCATTGGCTCTGGTTTGCTGTTTCAAGCCAAGGGAATAGAGTAGAAGATGAAAAAATGCAAACAGAATTGTGATTTTTAAATTGGTGTGGCCTTGTAAGCCACATCAACAGAGCTTGTAAAGTGCAGCTCTTTGGAACTTTTTTCTCCCTTTTTCCTTTGTGATTTCTTCTTTGAAAGCGGGTGGGGGAAATATTTTAAATAGAAAAACTTTAGTTAATGTAGCATTCATGTTGCACATTTAATGCCTGAAAGTCAAGAAAAGAACAAATGTCTCACTAAATTTAACTCAATCACATTGTATGTACATCTTCTTCGTTTGAAAAAGTGGGTTGTATCCACGAAAGCTCATGATACCATCAATATGTTTTGTTAATCTTCAAGGTGCTGCTAGACTACTCTTAGTTTGGAAAAACTTAAAAAAAAAAAACTCAGCTACCCCTCTGAAGTTGTTGTATGTACAGTTTGTTATAGTCCCAATTTCTAAAATATATTGCTTAATATATGACTGCTTGTTATTTTTATTGCATATATTTAAAAGAGAAGAAACTTTTTTGAATGTTTAACTTAATTACTTTAATGTCACACAACTATATATTTTTGCTTGCTCTGGCAACATTAAAAAGAGAATCTTGCACAAAGATGGATTATAAAATACTTTTGAATAAAGGAGTTGTTGAAAGAGGAATGAGATGTGCAGCAACTATTTTAATTTGGATTATGGTCTTTGGTCTAGAATGTTTTGATATTTTTTAAAACATATTGTCTAAATCCTTTGAGTAAGTTCCTTTGTTGTTGTGTATTTGTAGACACTCCAGTATTTACAGCAAAATGCTAAAGAAAGAGCAGAACTTGCAGCGAATGCCACAACAAGTGGTAGTTCCAGTTTTACCATTCCCTCAACCACTTCCAAAATATCCATGCAGGAGCTTGAGGAGTTACGCAAGCAACTTGGCAGTGTAACGACCAGCTCCAGTGTACAGCAGGTACGGTCTCTTCCACAGTCTGGAAATCCAAGCCTACGTTGAGTGTGTATGGCTTTAATCATTA